ACCTAGGGTTATTCTTATTTTCTTATTCTAAATGGTTGCGTACACTGGTTTTCACGCACATGCTGGGATGTATGAACATGGCGTGAGAATGTGCATGCCGTGACACAAAGTCTTGTCTGGCAAAACACTGAAACTTGCAAGATGTTTCTAAACATAAATTCCCACTGCAGTTGCTATGAAAAAACATAAGTATGTCCACTGATACACCATGATAGTTTAATCATTTCATAATGTTTAACAACAGAAAGACCAAAACCCAAACGGAAAATGCTATTTACTTTTTATTTTTTATGAGCTTGAGGGTGTCATATGAATAAAAAAGCCACTTAGGAAATACATATACAGTCACCTTCTGTATATCACCGTATTGTGTGCCCTACTGCTTATCTCTTACAGATGAAATGCCTTACTCACTGTGCCAACAACAAGATCGCCACGGAAAACTGCATGCTTCTCTGTTTGAGTGACAGCTAGATGTTAACACACATCAGAGACTATACAGTTGCTGAGGCGCACACATATCCATGATGTACAGGAGGCGAGGTGCAGAGATCCGTGTCAGGTGAGCAAACTTAGTCACTCACTGTGATGCGCAATTGATCCTGTGATCATTAAGTGAACAAAGTGTAACAAATTAGGTATGCAAGATATGAGTTAATATTTGTTTCAGGAATAACACACATCAGAGTCACACTCACATGGCAGGATGCCAGAGATGAGGGTTTCACCAATTATTCCAGCCACCCTTTCTTTCTGTGGTGTGAGTGCTGGCTTTCCTGAGCCCCCACCTGTAGCAGCCACACTCTGCCGATGTGCCATCACTCATCATTATTATAACAGATGACAAACCACCAAATAAAACATTTCTTCTGGCCTCCACTTCGGTGTTTAGCACCTCCATGTTGCACTCTTTCTCTCACAATTTTACTTTAACTTGTTGTAAGACAGGATTAGCCATTGTGATTTGGACAGAAGATGACATCACAGGCGTCATCATCACATCAGGGGTGTATTTATGGATGGATATAATTTGCATAGTAATCTACAATTGAGAGTCCATGAAAACAAGTTAGTAAATGAGCAGAGAAGTCTAAATAGTACTGGATAAATGGTCGAAAAAATGACATTGAACATGATTGGTGGTGATGAAGGGGAATTTGAGTTAATAAGGACTGTGGGGGTACATCTGAAACAAAGGTTGGGAACCACTGAGCTAAATCATTGGGGAACACGATCTGTCTCTTGAAGAGCTTCCAGGCAAACATGTTTTTTACCGACCCTATATAGGCACAGTGTAGTGTGTTTTCCCTTGTGAGTGCCCTGACCACATTCCTGTTTTTGTTGGCACAAGCGCTTGTATGCATATTCCATTATGTGTTCCTACAACTACCCCAGCCAGTGTCACCGTATCGGTAGGTTTCCGCCCAATTGGGCTGCTTTCAATTATGCTGGATGGGTAGAAAAGTAGCTGATAGATGAAATTTGGGCTGCTTTGTCAAAGTTTGGCACGTAACCCTAACCCTGCTCCTCTTCTGCCTCAGAGGTTTTGTTGGCGCTTTGATTACTGGGTATATCTAAAAAAAAATCAATTAATTACTATGGTTAATATGTATATCTCAGATGTGGTATCTTGTGAAATGGTTGTTCTGACTTTCTGACTGCTGTAGCGCTCACTGGCTCTCTCAGGCTGGCTCTGTTTTGTGCTGGCAGGTCCGGGGCTGCTAGTCTGTTGGCCCTGACTGTTTGAAATTGGCTCTGACCGCTGAGCTTCAATGCTTACTTTAGCATTGGGACATACTGACGGACCTATTTTTATTTGACAAAATTCGACCTGTGTTTGACTTTTTTCCACCAAATATTAAAAAAAAAAAAGAATTAACCATTAAGTCACTAACTTGGCCATTAATATATGACAAAGCTACAGTTGATATCTATGGTCTGGTCTGATTGAAGGCTGTTTTTGGATATGCAAAAAGTAAATACAGAGGGGCAAACCCTGTCTTCTAGAGAAATTACATTTAAATATTACTAAATTAATTTCATAATTATGTGTTTAAAGACATTGTTGTATAACACAATTTTTTAACACTACATTTATATAACACGGTGGAGTTGCAAGGAGGGGGTTTGGGTGGGTGGTTGGCGTGCAAAGTGCAGGACTGTCAAACCACTGTCCAAAGCTTGAGTGCTACTTCAGTTCAGTCAGCAACTCACATTTGAAATGTTTGTTACAGCAGTATAGTATATTTAGATTTTGCCGTCTAGGCAATCATTTCCCGCAGATATGTTTACATAGAGATATTGGGGCC